TGGATTGTTCTTGAAGTTGGCTCTTCATTGTTTCTGATGACACACGCTACGACATATCAGAAATGGAGCTACAGTCTCTGAATTTAGATTTGTGATCAGTGGACTGTTGGAAATTAACTAATCATAATACTGATAGGAAGTTGCTGATATTGCACATGAATTGCTGTTATCCTTGTACTATAGCCAGCCAACTGGTGCAGTGATTACGTGCGTTTATAATTGAATAATACAAGTGCATCAACAATATTATCTAAACATAGTTGACAGTCAATTTATGCTTTCAAGGGTCAATTGGCTGAGGAGCGCTCCAACATTTAGCCAAATGGGTTTGGCTGCATGGTCTAGTTCTCGTCGGATTTTTGATTGGGCCTTGTAGCTTAGGAAGGAAGGATCTCTGGGGCTGGAGCTTGAGCTTGGGCTTGGGCTAAGGAATAATTGACATCGAGGTTTGCCTGTGTTGCTGGGATTATTGGGCCATTGTGCAGCAGCAACATTATAGCCATTGGGCAGTACACATCTCCAATTCATAAATGGTAGAAATTTTAAAATTATCACTAGGAAGAAGTTGGTCATGGTGCAACACTGCAACATGTCTCAAACAACTAATCAGATTTGTGGCACAATTCCAATTTCCAAGCATTATACTACTGAGGAGCTCATAAATACCAATGTGCCATTAAAGGAAACTGACTGTACAAGTATTCTACTACAGCTTTTATGGAAATCATAAAATGCCCACAAAGACAAACCTCGGTCATTTCGGAAATCCATGTCCATGGATCCAAAGTCTATAATAGCTCTACTAATAAGTTCACTAGCATAAACTAACAAGTAATTACCTATTAAAGGAAAGTAAAAAACAAAAGAAAAATCTATAGGAGAGAAAGAACCACCAAGTCGAAAAAGAATAACGAATAACATTCTCTGCTTTTATGCTAGATCCCAGCAGCTATTTAAACTTTTTGGTTGCACCAATGAACACTTCTGTGTAACAAATCGGGCAAGCCTGGAAAAAGTCAAAATTGCCAGCAGCAATTAGAGAAACAGAGAGCATTTATATGTCATCAAATTATGAAGTGATGATGATGTTATACCTTATTGATGCTTAGCCATTTGGTTCCACAGCCCACATGATACTTGTGTTTGCAGGGAAGAGTTATTAGACGATCTCTACGTTTGTATTCCATCTGACAAATTACACATCTGCTTCAAACAGAAACACATAAGCTGTTAAATTAAGAATTTGTGAGTGGCATTGACACACAATATAGAGAATGGCATAAAATGAGAAACCAGAAACAAAACAGAGCAGATGATGTTCTGAACTACACAAAGGCATTCTTGAAAAAGGGAATATTGTAACCAAAGCTCAAAGTACATCTAGCATATAACAGAAGGCAATCCGTGACATAAATAATAAATATACTAGCACTGAGTCAAATTTGTGATATTAGCACACAAGTAACTTCATAAATTTTGGGCATGTTTTCTCTAAAAGGGTGGAGGGGGGGAATGTTCTGTTAGTTGCCCACTTGCCAGAACTCCAACAACCATTTAAACAAGTCGAATTATGTTGAGCTTAAATCACTTGTTGCGGCTGGAAGCTCTGCAATGTTTCTGTTCATCCTTTTTCTCCATTCTAGCTTTAACAAGTGTACAAATTTTATAATGGTATATCTACTTTTCCCCTGCTATATCCGCCATTGCAAATGAAGGAGAGATTAATAGCGCATGGATTATGCAAGAATTTTTCTGACAAGAAGCGCATAAATTTATCTTTCCAGAAAACAGGTGATAGGGAAGAAACTACATCATTACCTTTCTGATCGGCACCTTTTTCTTAAGAAACAGCATTTGAACTTTGAGATGGGGAGCAGGGAAATCTGTTCTTGGGAAAGACCTCGACTATGAGTTCCAACTGTTTCACCCAACTCAAGTAATTCCTGCATAATAATTAAAATAAAAGATACAAACTCATCAGAATTTTGATGAGGAAAATGGGGGACACCACTACCATCCAGAAAGTCTTTTATTATCTGAATAAACTAAATTTCTAAATACCATTCTATTATAGCCAATAACCTTCTGAACAGGAGTGGTCTAGCCATCTAAAGTACATTATGCAAGATAGATAAAATCCATTCAGAAATCACACAATAACCCCAATCCAGTAGCAGTCCTATGAGGGTAAAATTGTAATGGTAAAATTTTTACAAAGTCATGGACTTGGGTTGATAACAACTGCCTCAGATAAAATTCTGTTGTTGTGTATGTTAAAGCTTCATGATTATAAACCCTCCGACGAAATCGAGATTATCCAGCATTACAGCTTAACAATTAGTGTCATCCGTGAATAAAAACATAACTGATTGTTTAGACTGTTAGTGGCCATTTTAAAAAACTACCTTTTCTCACAATGAGGTCGTCCCGACACAAATTTTATCAGCAAATGTATGAACACACAAAACAGCCAAACTATCAGTGAAAACAGTACTGCAGTTTGAGAGTACAACTGTCATATAATAACACCAACTCTACATTCATATATCTTCTCTATATTGACAAAGGAAAGGCTGCAGCCGCTGCACCCCACATGTTTTCACATTTCCTAGATGGGACATCATAAAATTTCACAAGGTGATGCTGCAATTCCATCTCTAAATGTTCTCTTTTGAGCTCCACTTCCATACTTCACTGATTTAAATCCAGAAGCCTGGGGCTAAATATTTGAGGCTCTTCTATCTAGGCAAATCATAATTGGACTCAAATACTCATTTACACAAGCTTAAAAGTTAAGTCTTAAAACAATTCCACATCAAGAGACATGTAATTGTTCATACTACGTATATAGCTATAGTGGTCTTTTAATTAAGAACAGGAACTAATCTACAATTGTCTGGTCTGTAAATTACTAAATTACAGCAGCAAAATCACAAAACTTGATTTAGTATACTTATCATCCAAATAGATAAGGAAACAAGAAAGTATGCATAAAATGTACAAAGATATCACAAAAAAAAATTAATTAAATAAATAAATAAAAATAAATAAATAAAAGAAGAGGGATAGGGGGGGACTAAAAGAAAAGAGAGATGCCAAACCTCATAAGTCATGTTGTCTGGATCTATATGGTCTTGCCAAACAGCCTGCATAGAAATAATAGCATTAAATGATAATGTTCATGGACTTCATAATTTGAAGGGGCTAATATATCAATTAGATGCAGTTGTGTTAGCTTATAGTTCTCAGAACAGGAGCTCAAAAAGAAATTCTGCCAACATATTAAGATAAAATGACAAAATATAAGAATGAAAAGGGAAAGTACTCATATTGTTAAATATGGAGTAGTGAGGAGATTTATACAAATAAATTGTGATGTGTTGAATGTCTAAATATCTTTACCAAAACTTAAGAAACAACAGAAAATAATTTAGCTTGACATCATTTATCAACCTTAAACATGAAGTCACAGGAATCTCGTGAAGAACCAGAACTAGATACTCACTGACTATTACATAATTATGCAAATGGGGTCAATATATGGACATCAATTTTTACCTGGTAATCTTGAGAATTGTGATGACTCCTAGGACCTGAAAGTTCAAGAGTAATGAGTCAACATAATGCTTTAAGCAACCATAAAACTTGACAGAACAAAAGCTTGACAAGTCCTAGAATGAAAGCTACTCCAAATATCCAATAACATATTCGACATTAGGCCATTACAAACAAACCTACAAAATTTCGTAGTGTTTATTGCTTAAACAGATATAAATTGATAAATAATGCTTTGCTAATTTTCCACATTAACAGGCCACAGAAATTAGAATTTTATTGAACAAACAAAATCATGTTTGTTTAAGATCAATAAAATAAAGCAGAAACCACAATCCACATATGTTTCATGATTCAATGATAGCTAGTAAAGCTTTAATATATACTTCTGTGAATTTACAATACTTGTTCAACACTCTGCTCGGTAAATGTGGCAAACAAAGTAGCATTCTATGTAAACACATGCATAAACACAATCAAAGCTAATGATTGATCGTGAGATTCGTGACACATCACATGAGGTAATTGAGAAAGATTCTTGAACAGTAAAGTCCCTGTTTTGGAAACAAAATGCATCTTGTCCAAGACAATATGGAGTCAGAAAAACCATGCTACATCATTTGATTTTAGCCTGTTATCAAGAAGTAAGAGGAGTGACCACATGGCAACATTGCCTTGAATTACAGCCCACTTCCATAACACCAGGTTCCAACTTGAAATAGACCAGGAAACTATAACATGAACACCATTCAACATGACAGGAACCACAGAAAATTCTTGATACATACATCAGTCAGATACTATTTCACCAGAAAGGATTTTAAAACTTACAATCTCGACTGCTTGTATTTACATTCATGTTTGATGTTCTTTGCGACTGAAGATTTGCAGCAGCAGTCTGCTCACTAGAAGGGAAATCAGTAGGTCTTCTAGTGTATTCATCAATATCATCCTCTATGTGATCAAAAACCTCAAAAGACCGGCTATTACTGTAATACTGAGATGCCCCAGGATCTGAATACTCAAATTTATAATAACCAGCACTAACCGGTGAAAATGCAGTATCCTGCACCATTCAGAAACCCACCCCAATGAGCTAATGTATCAATTCAAGCAACTCAACACTTATACCGCAAAATCACCAAATTCAAATAAAAGAAATACACAAAAACAAAGTTATAGTATTAGCACCTGGATTTGTGTACCAGAAAAGATATAATTGACATGATCATATGTAAGACCAGCGAAAAAATCCATGAAACTTCCAGCACTATTGTAAGGAGCATTGCTCCCAACATAATGTGACTCCATATGTTGATTCCAACTCATTTCAACAAATCCTATAATCAACTCCACACCCAAACAAAATAAATAAACTAAAGAACACAAAAAAAATCTCAAACTTTGCATAAAAAAATGTGAAAATTAAGAAGAAAATTCACCTGTATGTATATATGATAAAGTTATTTCGACAAATTTACGAGCGTAGATCTATTCCGTGATTAGCAGATTGCTCAACAATGCATATCACCCACCATTCAAAATCACCTGCATTGTGTAATTTGAGATCAACATTTTGATTTCTTGTTCAGCCAATTTCATGAAAAAATAAAAAAAAAACAGTAAAAATAAAAATATACATGAATTTTGAAAACGGCACAACTGATCAATCAATCGAAAACGACAAAAAAATGGATCAAACAAAGAAGTAACAAGAAGAATTCAATCAATCAACATTAAATAAGTAAGAATCAAAAAAGAAAGAGAACCAACATTGATAAGTTTCTTGAAGTTGTTGTAAACTTAGAATACTCGTGAAAGAAATAGTTGTTATTTAATCTGAGATTCTTGAGAAATGTAGATGCTCTGAAGTTCACGCATCAAAAAGAGGAGAGAGAAAGAGAAAGAATTTAAGAAAAATGAGTAAATATTGTGATTGAGAGAGAAGAGAATTGAAGAAGAGAATCAGATAAAATTCAGAAACACACGCCAAAGTCCGTTACTCTGCTTTATTTCCAACTAAATTAATATTATACCCCACGCTATGTTCTCCATCTGTTGTTCACTTTACATTTTTTATGGCTTGCTTATAGTGAAAGTGATGTTGTGTGTGTATGTATGTATGCCTTACGGGGTGTCCGACTACGCGAGCGAGCCGAGCAATGATAAATCTATCTCTGGTCAATATTTGTTGAGAGTGGGTTACTAGTATGAGAATTATTATGGTTTTTTTCCAAAGGATGAGCAATAATTATTTGTAGCATATAGGAGTATCTAATAAAAGCATATCAAAATAAGGAATCCTATGTAAATTTTAGTATTTATTTTTATTTTTGAAAAATAAGTATTGTCATAATCTGATAATGTTATTTAGTGAATCTATGCAATTGGGATTAAACCAGGTATAAAATATGATTATCACTATTCAATAGCCCAATTACCAAGTATTACTAATATCTTAAGCTAAGTAAGTCATGGATAATGATAAAACCATGTTTACTGATCTATATAATAAGTATTCAAATGGTGGAATATTTTTATAAATTAAAAAAACAAGTGGGCCAACTAAATCAATCATGGGTTCCACGGAAAACACCTTAAAGACACCGTCGGATGTAATGATGTTCCATTATAGTCCTCGGATCTAGACTTAAGAACATGAACATACATATAGAAAGAAGTCACATTCATATATATGATCACCAAATCTACCTGAAATTCAACCCCCAAACACCTTCCAACTTCTTTTTTTTTCTTTCTCTCAAGTATAAATAGTTGGTGTCGGTTGACGTTAGAAAGGTAATAAATTCCCGCCAAACGTACAATTAACAAAACCAAAAAGGTTTTAAGTACAAGTGGTAGTAAAGAGTAGTTAGCAGTACTTTGTTTGGTTAGCTGTTTTCATGTTCATCATGTGGGAAGTCAGAACTTCTGGTTTGGATAACAACGTCCACCATTAGAATATATATGCAAAATCCATGTTGGAATATGTTTGGTAGATGATAATAAACTACACAGGATAGCAGTGATTAATTGATTAAAGTAGGTTTACAGAATAGTCGCATGACAATCTTTATGGTAATGTTTATTCATACTCGTTTATCTTTTAATTTATCAATTTTATTTACCATATAATCAGATACATGAAAATAAACACATACTTCATATAAAAATAGAGTGTTATCTCCATGGACATTTACAATATAACTTTTCATATAAAAAATCTTGTATAAATTCAATATCCTTATTGTATTTTATTAACACCTACCAAACAAGTTGTAAGGTATGTTCATACTTGTTGGTTAGTTCCTTTCTCTTTCTGAGTTGCCCGAACAATTTCTTCATTTGGGCACTAATTGCAGTTGAGCTACTTTGGACTTTGGCCATAAAAACTTGCACAATTAAGACATCAATTAAAGTGAAAAGGAATCAGAATATTGTAAATTTATACGATAATTGATAATACTACTTTTCCCTTTAATTACTGTCTTAATTATTTGTACTCGTACACAACAAAATAACATATCCCCTAAATTATTTTTAATTAATTGAGGTTTTTGGCTAGTAATACAGTGGCAAATACTAATAATTGAAGAACAACTTTGATTTCTTCCAACCAATAGCTGAGCTGAGCAAGATCAATCATGAAAGACATCTCATATAATTGAAGTACTATGATTTAATCCTCCAAAAAGAGGAAAAATACAGCAAACATAAATTTAAGGTGTAACAAAATCATACCAAATTAGTCACATTGGTTTTGCATGCTTTCTACCCATTATCATTTGTCTTTCCATGCGGTAATTATGAAGGTATGGACAATGAATTATTGAATTGGCAAATTAATAAATATGTATGTTTTTTTAGGTTATTTACGATACCCCAATTATGCTTTTTATGATCCGGAGTAAAGTTTAGTCTTGAGAGAAAAAATGTCCTATGTATTTTTTCTATCCAAGATATATTAAAACATTCAAGTATAAATCATGCTCTTCATATTATACTCTATTCGATAAAATGACATATTTTCATATACTATATTTAATATCAATGCACACACACAAAATAATCAAAAATAAAAAATTGATCAAGAAAACAAGTATTGATTACAAGATTCAAATTTTATGTCAATTCAAGACAAACTTCAAATAAGGTCAACATCCTTTGCTCCTTTAAGAAGCTAGCTAGACTCTAAATAGCATAATTATAACCTTAACAACTATTTTTATTTTTTATATATAAAAAAAAGTAACCTAATCCATTGGAGACAAAGATGATAGTGGGCCATAAATAGTGTGAAAAAGAGGAAACCTGAAATGGTAATAATGGGCCACACAGTTGTAATGTATTAAAGGATGACCTAGCTATGGGCCCCCAAAGAGAATCATGCAAAGTACTTGTTAAACTAACTAATGTGGAAAGGTTCTAAAACATGTGGGGTTGGAAGAATGATAAGCTAAAACCACATGATTTAGCTTGGAATGAACCATAACCTAGCGTGCAAGTAAGGACAAACCATTTTTTATTCTTCTTCCTTTAGCTTTTTTTGCCTATTATTATTAAGGTTTCCAAGGTAAAAAAAGGCACTCTAAGGGTGCCTGATGCTACAAGCTGTTCCTTCTAAGTTCAATCATATGTGGGTACATGCACGCTTCAATGGTCGTCACATGTCATGCACTCGTCGTCCTAGACAAATCATATTTTGGTGATGAGTTATTCAATTTGGTTTCATCAAATTGCAAGTAATATCTATCTATTAACATTAAAATGGTATATCATGATCTAGTTTGTTTTGTCATATCTAATAGTGAGTTAAGAAAACTAGCATATAGTGATAGTAATCACAAGCTACAAGAGAGCTTTGGTTTAAGACGTTAACTAAAATAAACAGACAAAGCCCTGAATTATTGTATCATGAGCTCATTAGATTATCAAAACCCAAAAAAAAAAAGAAAACACCCACCCTCTCACACAAACATGCACACGGGTAAAATTAGCAGGGATGAACAGAGAAGGGAACAAGGAAGGGCATTTCTCTGTTTAAGGATGATCAAGGATAAGGGTAAAGATTTCTAAGTAAAAGTTATAGATATCATAGTTTCATGCACATACTAGAGACTCTAATCTGATGAATAAAGTCATTCATCTCATAACATAAAACAGTGAAAATGAGCAACAAAGGAATAAAGTAGTAAAAACTCAGAATCAGATGCCCTTATGACTGTAATGGGATGAAATAGAAGCATCAATCACAAGAGGGGAAGCGGAGAAAGGGGCTAAAAGTTACCAGTTTCCCATGTATTAGATCATGTAGCAAAAAGATGCAGGATGATCTGAAGACAGCTTTAGTTGGCTTGTACTTGAATTTGTTTTAAGAAAAAAAAACAATGGAGAGCAAGAAAATACTACTCCGTAGCAAAAATAAAATTTGAAGCTGCTTTATATAAAGACATTCACCTGAACTTGCAGATAAGGAAAATCAATCTTTGTCTAGAAGTTGTAACCCATTGTCAGAACATCCACTGCATAAGTAGTCAGAAATACACATGAATCAACAAGCAGTATTCAAGATCACATATTTTTAAAGCAGTAAAAAATACGGAGTAGAAGTTTTTAAGTACCAAATATGTACTACTACATGTTTAGAAGTAATTTTTATTACCTTTATATTTGCTGCATTATTAAACCAATTTAGTCAGCTGCAAACTTATGTCCTCAGGAATCACCTGATGAAATTTGACTGCTATCTCTTTCACCGTATTGCATGACTTTACTTCTATGATGCTCGATCCCAAAATCCAACAATTGACTAACCCTCAACGATTAAATTGTATACATTGAATCCATCCTTGACTAGAAAGCACCGAGCATCATCATTTAAATGCTCCTGAGACCGTAGAGAAAAAGGCCATAAGTTGAGGGATGGCCCAACAATTGTATAAAGCTCATTTTGCAGAAACTTGGAACAAATTGCATATAGACAGCGGAAATTTGACATAAGTATAAGCATTAAGCAAAAATGAAAACATTTTGTCAGTCAATCACAAGCAGATGTTCTTGAAATCCAGAAACCCTGCATTCGTAGGGAGCACTTAAAATTGAGTACAAGGAGAAAAGGATAACAATAGTTTACTGTTTTCCTTTTAAAAGTTTAAATTAAAGGAAGGCTCTGTGACCTTCCTGTAACAAAATTATTGTCATCTACCTCTCTGTTCAGTGGAATGTCTCCAGCCATCTTCCTTCATATTTTTCAGGTTGCTAAGTCACAGTCCTTCAAGCAACTGCAGCCAATCAAGGAGATGAATGAATAAGTGGAGAGATGGCCCAACCATTTTATTTCTTAGTAAGCCCACAGACTTTGCATAATAGACGCAAAACATGTAAGTTTGGAGGATACAAGAGAGTAAAGGAACTATTTTCACAGCCTTTTAACATTCTGACTAGCATAATTCTACAAAGAAACAGCAGTCCAAGATTTGCTGATACTCGAAGCAGTTTCAAGTAGTTCAAGTTGTTTGGTTAGTTGAGCCAGACAATCAAATATCTCTATGGATTGAGGGTGTGTCTTGTCTCTTATAGTGAATTCATGGACTACTCCATTGATCTCAATTGAGCTACAACCAGGAGTCTTGTCAACTCCTCTGGCCTTCATCATTTTCCTTACTTTTCTAGCTTTGTCCCACATTTCTGCATCCCCATACATATTTGCCAACAAAACATATATTCCACTATCACCAGGATCCAACTCAAGCAGTTTCAATGCAGCTTTTTCACCCATTATCACATTCCCATGCATACGACAAGCAAAAAACAAAGCACCCCATACAACAGCATCTGGCTCCATAGGCATACTCTTTATAAGTGCTTCTGCGTCTTCTAATTTTCCTGCCCTACCAACTAGGTCCACCATGGAAGAGTAGTGTTTAAGGTTTGGAGTAAGATTATATATGGAGGTCATTTCAGCAAAGTACTGACGGCCCTTGTCAACCAATCCCCCATGACAACAAGCAGCTAAGACTCCAAGGAATGTGATCTCATCTGGCACCAATCCAACATCAACCATTTTTGAAAAGTATGATAAAGCATCATTTGCATTCCCATGAAGGGCTAGGCCTCCAATGATAGCAGTATAGGTTAATGAATTCTTCGAAGCCATCTCATGGAAAACTTCAAGCGCCTTTCCAACGTTACCACATTTGGAATACATATCAACAAGAGCTGTGCCCAATGAAACATTCAAAGAAAGCTTCTTCTTGTTAATGTACCAGTGAATCCATATCCCAACATCAAGTGCTCCTAGTTGAGCACAAGCAGATAAGCAGTTAACCATAGTGATCTCATCAGGCGTAATATTTGTACCCTGCATTTCATGAAATAGAACCAAAGCCTCCTTACTATACTTAGCTTGAACATATGCTCCAATCATGGCATTCCACGGCACCACATCTTTCTCAGGCATCTTGTCAAACAGCTCCCTCGCCTCATCTAGCAACCCAAATTTAGCATATCCCACAACCATCGTGGTCCACGAAACCATGGTTTTCTTCCTCAAATTATCAAATATATCCTGTGCCGCCTTAAGATCCCCACATTTAACATACATATCCATCAACGCATTACAAAGTGGGACAGTTAAAGTCAGTCCACATTCACCAATAAGACGATGAAACTCCAACCCTCGACTCAAATCCTCGAGTTGTGCACATGATGAAACCATCCCAATCATTGTCACCTCATCCGGCCTTACTCCCTCCACCCTCATCTCCTCATACAGCTTCAACGCTTCGCAAGCCTGCCCACAATGTACATACCCATTGATCAAAGAATTCCATGTAACCAAATCTCTTACACAACTTTCATCGAACACATGGCGTGCATCATCCAAACGACCACAGGACACCAACATATGAATAATTCCATTATGTACAAACACATCTGAAGCTAAACCAAGTTTCAAAACATGCCCAAGAATTCCATAACCAATATAATTTAATGACAAACGAGCACAAACCTTAAAAATCAGAGGATAAGTATAATTATCAGGACGACACGCACTATTGTTCAACATTTCTTTATACAATTTAACAGCTTTAATTGGAATTAAACTCTCTGAATAACCCTTAATTGCAATATTCCAAGAAAAAACTTTAGGGTTATCAACAAAATTCAAAATTTTCTCACAATAATCAAGATCACCAGCTTCAGAAATTGCACAAAACGCAATCAATCGACTTGAAGCAAGCCCATCTAAGATGAGCCCAGAAATGATCATTTGAGCTTGAATCTGAAACAATTGCGCCATTGAATTGCATTTTTCGAGGAGATTGAGAATTGGGTTTGATTTTACAAAGGAATGATTGGTGTTCCAATTGCTGGGTTTTGGTTTGTAAGGTGAGAGAGAACGAATGTGGAGAAACGAAGGGAAGATCAAAGAGAGAGAATTTGGAAGATGAGAGAGAAATCTCGAGTTCAATATTATGTGGTTGATCATCAGAAAATTGGGGTTTTTTTTTTTTTGGAGGAAAGATGAATTTTTGGTGCCACAATTTTGGTGGTTTGAAGGTCTTAAAGGCGGGAATTTGAATGAAGGCCTGTAAATCTGTACCAGGCCAGAATTTTTTGTAACATGAAGGGCTCCATTAGATCAAAACCCCTCACGGGTCAACCCGGCCAAGGCGATTGTGTTATATTAGAGGGAGCCGATAGTGAAATACTAGTCCATAACACCCACAAAATAAAGATTTTTTTTTATTTTATAGTTGTAACTTTTGAATATTTTATATCTCTCAAATCATACCCCGAAGTTACAACTAAATAAAATCGGAGGTAATATATGACTTTGATAACGAAATCACGGAGTATAATTGTATATACTCGAAAAAATTAATAAGTTACTTTCGGAAAATAAATACTACGTATATTGAGTTTGACCTAACAATACGAATAAGAGAACCGAATATAAATTGTGATCAAAGTTAAAATGATATACCCAGGATTATATTGAACAACAATGTATGAGCATTGGAAACTCGAAAGACTACGAGTACATTCATATACAGAAATTCCGTAGATTATGGAATACTCCGTACTTATTTGGACATTTTACGGTTTTTGGCTTGTCTTTATTATTCTTCCAAAATGAAGGCAATAATAGATGGTTGATTCAGCAAACCATTGATACCTCAGATTGATAGATATGGAGTATACAAGTAGATGGCTGGTAGTTTATCTCATCAAAGGTAATACGAAGTACAAGTATTATTTTAATTAATTTTTACGTTCATTTTTCTGTACAACATCCCATTGAACATATTTTCATTTCTCCAACAAAACATTAAGCAACTACTGTACTAAACATTCTGGACAAAACGAATTGTTAAATACTTAAATGTGCTCAATAAACTAAAAATCCCCCGCAAAACAGAGCAATAGAGTCTCATAAAGAGAACAAAGCCACCTTGTATAAAACTTGCTAAAACAGCTCGAGTACGAAAACTCGGAATAAGGCATGTAATCAGTGAACCAAAAAGACTGCAGGATAAATAAAACCACACAAATAACAAAAAAAATGTGCCCTTTCATTTCCATTCACTGGAAGGCAACAATAGTACTGAATTCTGATATAACAAAAATTGATCTCATGTAACTAATTTAAAGAACTCTAAGGAGCACCAAATTGCAACCATGCTCCCAAGAACAAATCTTTAATCCGAGCAAGAATTCTCAGGGAAAACTGTGGGGTTAGTCCCTCTAAAAAGTCTTAAAACCCTACATTATTATTTCAATCAAACTTTTAAGTATATGAAAGCTTCCCACCATAGATTCCAGACTGTTCCATCCCCCCAAAAAAAATTTCATCACCATCTTCCGCCAAGGTTGTAGGGCATTCTAAAACTTAAGCACCACCGGAACCGTACTTCTTTCCGAAGACGAGGACCTGGAGCTTGTCGTAACCAGCCAACACACCAGCACCAGCAACAGCACGAAGGATGTTGGCACCAGCACCCTTAAATAGGGACTTGGGGCCCTCGTTCTTGACAATCTGCTTGAAGCAGTCGAATGAGCCCTTGTACTTGACGGCCTCACCGGAGGTCATCATCATTCTTCTTCGGACGGTATCAATTGGGTATGAAGCAAGACCAGCTCCGTTGGTAATGACCCACCCAAGAGCAAAACTAGCAAAGAAACTATCCTGCAATCATCAAAATTTTACAACATTATTACATTATTTTTTGTACAGAAATGTTAGATATAAATATTCAACACTAACTTGTGTATGTTCCAAAAACAATTGGAAAGTATATCCAACAGCAAAACAATAAACCACAATCAGTTACTTTCTTTGTAGAAAACTAACTAACAATGGGGTATAGGAGAAGAAAATATTAGGTCCATTGTCCTCACATAACAATTGACATGCTTGGATTGGGTTGTGTATTAAAGGGGTAATAAGAAACTAAGTATGGGAGAGTGGAATGGGTGAGTTATTGCTGGTGTAAGAAAGAGTGGTGGCATCACATTCATGTTCACATCATAGCCCCAGAGATAAATAATCTCTATCAACATTTTAATATTTCTCGCTCTCCTATTACCATCTTAATGAATCACCCCAAAACAAGCATGCACTAAATGAAAGAAATGGAGACACGAATGGCTAAAAACAAACACTCAAGAGAAATTTTCCACCAAATATCAACTGAAGATTACAAGCACAAAATCCAGGGTCCAATAAACAAAACATTGCATTATAAAATGATATAAATCGGTAGCTAACCTGCAACTTTCCGGTCAAAAGCACGGGCTTCACGGAATCATACAACCCAAAGTACAATCCACGGTAGACAATGATACCGACACATGAGATGTTGAATCCACGGTATAGACCAGCAAGACCATCTGATGCCCATGTCTTGCGGTAAACATCAACAAGACCATTGAATTGCCTGTCTGCTCCTCCCTTCTTGGCAGCCTTTGAGTCGTTGGCAAGACGGGTACGGGCATAATCCAAAGAGTACACAAAGAACAATGAAGAGGCACCAGCAGCACCACCAGAAGCCAAGTTACCGGCAAACCACTTCCAGTAACCATCCTTGTCCTTCTTGAAGTTGAACATTCTCTTGAAGTAGTCCTTGAAGGCAAAGTTCAAGGCCTGGAAAGAAAAAATAAAACAATGTTAAATTCACTAATAACAAGAAAAATAAAATCAACAGATTAGAAACGACAGCAAAGGATTAACTTATAAGCACCTGAGTAGGGAAATAACGGATGACATTGGCAGTGTTTCCTCTCCACAAGGAAATCATACCCTCATCCTTCATTGTCCTGGTGAAACAGTCACCAATACCCTTGTAGGGTTCAGCGAGACGGCCAGATTTAAGCATCTCATCTTGGTTCTGGATCAACAGCTTAACACGCTCAATGGGAGCAGCAGCAGTCTTTGAGACAGCAGCTGAAACTCCTCCCATGAGAAAATCAATAGCGAAAGCAGCAGGTCCTTTCTCAGCAGGGGCGTATGCAACTACAGGTGAAGCCATGTTGGAAACAAAAGATAGATCCTGGGTTGCTGGGTACTGGAACGCAGCATTAGAGTAGTTTCCATAGGCAAAACGCCTTTGGACCAAGGCAGAGTTTTGGGACCCTCCAAAACGAGGCTGACTGATCTGTGACAGACCACTGAGTTGGCCAGCAGCAGCCTTCTGCATAACTGAGGGTTGTTGGTTCATCTCAGCCATTACTTCTGATTTATATCCTAAAGAACATGGAACAATATTTTAGCACAGTATACAGTACCATAAAACAAGCAGAATTATAATAAGCACATCACATCCAAAGCAAAAAGTCATCAACAAAGCTAGAATAAAAAAATCATTGATATTTACACAGTGAACCAATAATATTGAAATTTAAAAAGAGATCATGGAAAGGAACATAAACCAATGATTGACTGGATCTTAACAGCATAAATTGACTGGAAAACAATTCAAGTCTTATCAAAGATCAGATTTGCTCAAACAAAAGCTTTGATTTCAATTGAAACAATCGCAATTGAAAAAATATGTTTCAGACAGAGAATAGTAAGCAGATGTTTCATACACTGTGCAAGGTAAATCCAGAAGCACAAAAGGCATCACTTATAATTCATGCGACAATAAAACGACATAATTAAACGAAAAACAATATCTAAACCCTGGAATAAAGCAAACTATGTTACTCCGACTCTTTCATTCATCTCCCATTTTCTGGGAACCCGAAACAAACGACATTGACATAGACAAGACACCAAATCAAGCCCTAGATGAATCTAAGTTACATAACGCATAATTAACAACAATTACACATGTACATGTTAATATCACTAAAGCAACCAAGCAATTTCTAGCAACCTGTCCATTAACCAAAGAAGACTAATTCAAATCAGACTGATTTATTTCTTAAATCTAATAAACTGACGAACAAAAACAGATCAAAAATCATCATATAAAATAATAATGCTAACATTCAAACCACAAAGCATTTGACTTCATCCAACCAGATTCAAACTCTAAATCCAATAAATTTCCAAAATGAATCAGATCTGATTCAAACGCTACAATTTTATGATCCATTCATAACTCAGAAAAATCAACAGAATTCAATAGATCCACAAACACAAAATTATAATCAACACATAACAAACCAGATCTACAGATCTAACAATAAAAAAAATGCAAAAATGCAGATCCATAATTTAACACAGAAATTCACAAACAGATCGAAAACAACATCACAAAACCACATCAGAAACAAAAACCTAAAATGAAAATCAAATGAAAACTAAAATGAAAATCAAATGAAAATGAATATGAAATCTTACACAGAAATTGAGAAACAAAAATGCAAAATGAGAATCAAAATACTCTTTTTTCAAACAAAAATAATTCATGAAATGTAAAATCAGATGATTTTAGAGAGAGAAGAGGAGAGAGAAACCTGCAAACGGCTGGCTGATGGACGAGGGTTTTGCAGCGAGAGAGCAAGGTAAGAGAGAGAAAGCAAGGGTTGCTGCTACTCAAGATATTTATAATTGGGGGGCCCCGGGAAATGCTACGGTGTTGTGGGACCTATCAAACCTAATGGTGTGTCCTAGATTTATAGCCGTTTGATTAAAGATAAACGGTGGATTGGGCCTGGAATGTGGGAAATGAGAATTAGTCCATGTGATTAATACGTTGATTTATGTTTTTTTTTTTTTTTTTAGGGAAAATACGTTGATTTATGTGGTAATATTATGATTAGTGTTTTAGTTTGATGTTGATGTTTTTTTTTTATTAATAGGAAGGAAAATGAAGAATTGTAAATTAATGGAGAGTTGACGACCTTTAAGAAGAGGGTTGTTTGGTTGGTGGAAAATGAGCGGCGGCCAATTCACAGGAAAGAATGGCTTTAGTTTGGGCCCTAAATTGTAAGGAAAAGGCAAGTGGTTTTCAATTACTCAAAATTCAAATTATATTACTCGTATATTATAAAATAATAAATTAAAGGAAATTCAAAATTGACCTACCAAATTTGAGAATCAGATACTACTTCTGTGCTTGATTTTTAACGGTTTGGGCCCATTCATAACTTAATTAGTTATTTACGGATTTCAATTGTTTTCAACCATTAATCATAGTTTTAACATAATTTAGTTCCTATTTTTAAGCAAATTTGAAGAAAAAAAAAAACATGCTTTAGTGAATTTTGTTTCCTATTTTCAAACAAATTTGCTTAGTCCTATTTGGGGTAGCATTTTAAGTAAACTATGAAAAACAGATAAAAGTGTTTAATAAGGTAGTGGTTTGAATAACGATTATTGGCAGAGCTATTGTTTAGATAGATTTTCTCAAACGTTAAAAATAGCATTTTAGAGGTATCTGGTGTTGTCATTGGTTACACTTTTCAACAATATGTATGTACTTTAGTTTTTAAACGCTACTTTTGCTAAATACTTATATTATCCACCACTACATTGACAACTAACCCTAGCCACTACTAATTCATAACTACTCACTACTCTTATGGCTACCCGTTACTCAACAGCTAAAAGCTACCCACTATAGGCACTATTCTCGTTATGTCGAACAAGGCCTTAGCTCAAAATTATAGGATCAGGAGCACTTGGGCATTTTATCCTTCCCCATTTCCAAAGAGATTAGCGTACTAATTTGGGTAGAGGTGACTTGTGAATAGTAAATTAGTAAGTCATTCACTTGAGTGCAACTTTATTCATATCTCACCTACCAAGCTCAATATATAAATTACATAAGGCTATATTCTTTTGATTTTAAAATAATAAAGTAATATTTTGCAAAAATAAATTCAATTACAACAATAAAGTAAAAGCTATTTTTAATCTTTAAAAATTAGTAAAAATACGTTTTAATTACTTAAAATTATTTCAGTTCAATAAACTCTTACAACAACAAAAGAACATAGAATGTATAGTAATTTGTATTAAGCCATTTAAAATAAATGTTTGTTGGTGAAATTTAAAAAAGAGTTTATAAGCAAGAGATGTTGTACAATGGAATATCTACTCGACGATCATAGTTTTATTAAAGAAATTTTTATTTGATTTAATATGTTAAGTATTTTTATTAAAATCGAATCTCTTTTATATATGTCGTATAACTCTTTATTAATGAATTTTTTTTTACTTAAAAAAATTTTATGAACGGCAAGAGGTAGAATATTCCAAATAATCAATAACGTGACATGTGCATGGACCATGCATGCCAAGTTGCCCAAGCATAATGCAACATGTGCATTGAGCTACTTGTTATTCATCTTTCCAATTTCCATCATACCTACGCTATCATCATCTTCTTATTATTCCATCCAACGCAACCCATGGCATGGGAATTATCAATATTATTTCATCCATCATCTTGGACTTTCTTTATTAGTTTTGTTAAGATCTACAAGATTCAAAACCAAGACACATTATGATTTATATAAAAGTATTTACTTACTCACTACATACCCTACAATCCTACATTACACCTTTATACTCGAGTCATATAAAATTGTCGAGTAGATCGAGCACCGTGGTGTACAATAGAACATGCATGTTAAACAATCTCAAAATATGACAGTATTCACAGTAGGCCAATCGCGTTGAGGATCGTTATTTCACACTCTATAAACCCAGAAATAAGTTCACATTGCCAAAGAAAGATTTTTCATCAATGCATAATTGAGGTCCAACATTTTGGCTACTTTCACTGGCTTAAGTTTCTAGATTTTCATAATTGATTTCACCTTAAGACAGCTCAGACTTTTCCGCACGTTTACAATTTCTTAGCTCTTCAATAAAGTTACGCAAAATAATTTTCTTCAGATTTTTTTTCTGGACTAGAGAAGCTTCCTTTTACCTACAATTTTCTTTTACAGAAATAAGTAATTTGACCACAAACTTATTTTGTTAATACTACTCGATAACTATTTTTAACTTAAATATACAAATTTAACAACAGTTTTCTTTATCAATCAAAGATGAATTAAAAGCAGGGTGAAAAAAAAAATCAAATTCAGGTATTCAGTCAAATTCCGAAGTAAATAGCTTTACTAGCAATAAGTTTGATGTAGATAAAAACTAAAGCTTCACAACAATCGCAATACACTCTTGCAATAAGTCACCTAAAATTGTCTTAAAAAAATAATATGCATGACCACAAAGTCAATTCAACTATAGAAATTATGAAGTATAGGTTAAGTATATTTCACAAAAGTCAGACACGAACCAAACTCAAGTTTATGTTGCTTTTCAAACAAGAGTTTCTCATTGCAACAACCAGAAACATGCCAAAAATGACTACTCGTACTAGAAAACCAGAAAAATGATCGACCCAAACTAGAACTTACAAGATCCCAAACAGTGCGACCAACCTGTTTGACTTTGACAGGTTGATTTGGAAACACGGTCAACCTGCAGACCGCTGATTATCAAGTGTCGTCATCAACCAAAGCAAATATTTGCATTTTGCAGAATCAGCCTCCATGACCAGAACAACTTTTTACAATGTAAGCCCTGCATGTTAATAGAAAGCCAGAATTCCAAGCGAATATGCTGAGAAACAGTAGCAGCAATGAAGGAGTCAAACAAATGCCCTTTTGCATTCTATTTGTGGTATCTGACCTCAATTCCATCTAAAGCAGAATGGTATTATAAGGGGGGCAGTAATGAGTCAGCTTTGCAAAAAGTATATACATCACCAGCTTATCACCCAATGCAAATTATAGCAGTACAGAACAAGTAATAGTCTATTTCCCTATGTGTTTTCAGGTGTGGGAAATCAAGATATCAGATGTAAAAAATGCAAGCTGACCTTACCAATTAAGACAAAGATGATATGCGCTGAAGACAGAATGAAATCATTAAATGGTTCATTAACCTTATATACTCAATGAAAGAGTTATGAGACGGGTCCATCGATACACAATCCCTCTTATTATGGTGAGTGGCTGAGTGTATCTTCTTTTACAGGGAAAACAAAAAATGACTCACAGTAGTGAAATATTTTCTTTGGAAAATACGCGCTTGATGATGCACACTCAGCTTAATAGTACGGACCAACAGCAACTTCCAAAGTGAATAAACAATGCAATTAATTAGACATTGCTAAGTGGACAAGTAAGATGAAGCAAATACAGACGAAGTTTGAAGTTAACAAGAAGCCGAGGAAGCAACTCAAACTCTGAACTCGGACACTTAGTCCTCTATTAATATAACGGGGATGACTACTTTGCTTGCATTTTGGATGTTTAATTCCTGATATAGAAAATTTAGCTTAAGCAGCAAGTAATCAAATGGTCAAATCAATGAACAAATTCAGCAACAAATATCAGATTAGCATAATTAGCAAAATCATACAAGTTTTCTTTGCAATCAGGTTTCTTCAATTAGTTCGTTTTGGCAATCAAAGATTCAGTGCTCATAAATAATAGCATTACTTGGAAAAAGCAGAAAAGTCCAGATCTTTCATAGTGTCAGCGTAATTAGTCAAATAACATTGTGAGCAGAGTAAATGAGAATCTAATTTCTACAGAGTATATTCTTCAGCAAAAAAAAAAAACAAGATACAGATATGCATAGAGTAGTTCCTCTACTTTTCTGGGATGGAAAACAAAATTTAAAATTTAAGGAAGATCGAAATTAACAGCATTACACACAATTCTTCACCTCAGATCAAGCTATGCTTGTATAAAGTCAAGTGGTATACAAATAATATGTCAGTAAGAAAGCTGACCTACTTCCTTTAGCAGCTACAGATGCCTATCAGCTTTGATTCCATCTCTTCCTTGAAATCTATCAATGCTCAGGGATATGGGCTCCAACGACATTTCTGATTTTGGCATACCTAACACCATTTCCTTCTGCTTAAGCAGCAAGACCATCCAATCACTCTCTAGTTTCACCCTTTCATTCTCCAACTTCAATCTCTCGAGCTCTCTGTCTTTCTTGCTGCGAAATCTCAACCATTTAAGCCGCTGTTTCTCAAGATCAAGTGCCTCAGCCTCCAACTTGACCTTTTCCACCTCAAGTTGCCACATTCGTTGCTGAATCAATGATCTTTGTTCTGCAGGAGATTTTGCCACATCTTGAAACATGGACTCCAATTCCACTCTATAACAGTCCTGCCTGCCAGGCAACAATGAGAAATTAGAGCTTCCTCCATTCACGTTGCTTCTAGCATAATAACCCTCCATCCTTCCAGATTTGATATCAACATTCTTTTCATCATCTTCATACGACTCATCACTGTCTGACTCGTAATTTTCATCAGCTTCATGCACCTCAGAAACATTGTTTTCATTTGGATGGGTAGCCAGAGGCATTATATGAGCTTGTAAATCAATATCATGACAGCCAGGTATTCTCTGACCATTATGGAAAGCACACATTTCCCGATAAAACAGATGTTTTGAACTCAATATCTTTTTTACCTCATCCTTCGCCTTTTCTGTCAAGTGCGGCATGGCATCCATTAGAGACGGATTTTCCACCACTTGGCAACTAGTTTCCCTACCAAGAATGTCATTCAACTTCTTGTATCTTTTATTCAAGTCATTGAACTTGTCCTCACATTGTTGAG